CTGCTCCCCTTGCTCCAGCCCTGCACCGACAGTCCTGCCAGCAGCCCCCGCCCGGCCCCCGCGGGCCGGCAGAAATCCCCCCCGAGGCCGCGGCGCTCGCCCTCCTCGCCGCGGGCAGGGATGCTCTCCGCAGCCTGCATCCCGCTCCTCTTGCTGCTCCCCTTGCTCCAGCCCTGCACCGACAGTCCTGCCAGCGCACACAGTGCGTGCATGGCTCCGCACCGCCCGGGAAGGGGTGCTGAGCTCCGGATACGGCCCGTGTGGGCCCCAGCTGCAAGCCTCCCCGGGCACCGGGAGCAAGACGCGCTGGAGCAGCCGGGGTCAAAAAACGCTGGCAGCAGCTCTCTGGGGTGGAATGCTCACCACGCTTTTCCACGTATGGTGCCACACATGGTGCACGCCAGCACTGAAAAATCGTTGCCTTTTCGTCAGGGGCTTTGTCAACTCTGTCCCTGGGTGAACCCCCCCGGCAGTTCTCCTCTTCCCTCTTAAGGACCAGGAAATGCTTTTGTAAAGATGGTCCGTAATGGTGCCTGGTCCCAGAAGGGTCCCAGCGGCTGGTGTAGAGCCGGGGGGGCAGGGCCCCCCAGGGATGCTCCGCTCGCTGCCAGCCTCCCAGCGCGGGCAGGCAGAGGATGGCTTCCCGCACCCAGCGTCACCTTCGCCGCTGAATTTCTCAGCCTGTGCAAACCTCTGGAGGCTCTGCCCCATCCGTGGCGGGAGATGGAAAAAGCAACGTCCCCTCCGCTCCCATCTGCCAGTGCATTAAGAAAATGAGAGCCGATTAAAGTCCGTCCCCTCCTGAGCTCCATTGGCCCTGGGCAAATTAATGACACAACCTATTTAGTAGCATCGGCAGACAGGTGGACTTTCCTCCCTCTGCGGACATCCAGAGGGTCGCTCGGGTCTGCTGCTCTGAGCGTTCGCTACAGCCAAAAGAAGTGGTTTAATCGCACGGAATGAGCGTGTTAATTGGGTATTTTTTCCCATCACCTGTTAAAAGGTTGGCTCAGGCAGTGTCTTTCCTTGCAGACCTGCTCCGCCACCCCACTCCGTGCGAGGATGCCGGGCTGGGATGGGAAGGAGCTGGGAGGAAAGCGCTCCCGTGTGCCCACACCAGCCCACCACCCGCACTGGCTGGAGGGTCCCCGTAGCGCCAAAAACGCTCCTGTTTCTTGAGGCAGGCGAGCTGGAAAGCTCATTTCCCTCCCATTAACCTCCACCTGCGAGCACTTTCTAGAAGGCAGCCAAGAACAGTAAAACCGGGGAGATTTGCAAAATAAACAGCGATCAAAAGCAAAGACCTCGGTTCCTGCTCCGGAGGGCGTCTGCCAAGACACACAGATCGTATCAGGCTAATTTACAAAAGGAAAACCACCCTAATTAGTGTTCAGGAAAGCACTTTAATGAGAAGCGCGTTAGTGTAAAAAGTGAGAGCACCAAGAGGTCAAGTCGTTCCTAAATGCCAGAAAAACAGGAAACGGGGCAGAGCCGATCTCTGCCCGCCCAGGCCGCAGCGCCATTTTCTCACTTCTTTAATAATGTTTCAGGTTCTTGGTGAGGAATGTACAAAACCCAGAGCCTGCTGCCCAGTCACAGGGCAGAGACACTGTACACAACAAGCTCTGAGCATCGTCGTGCCAGACGTGGCCAGCTCACCCTGGGGAGAGTTAGGCAGCCCTCTCAGCCACCTCCCCTCCTTTTTGGGGCATAGCACAGGTTTTATGGCTGGAGTTTCCCCTTGCGAAGGGGAGACCAGAAGCCCTGTCAATGCTACGAGTCCTGTCTCGCCAGTGGCTGTGACGGCGGCTAGTAACCATGGCAGCGGAGAGATTTGCACGTGATATTGGTATTTCTGCGGCACAAAAGAGCCTCTTATCTAGAATGAGTAACTGGTCTGGCTGGTCTTCATTCCTCCGGTTATGGCTAAGACAGAGTGGCACGACACGGCCCATGTGATGCCCACCCCAGGGTGAATTTGGACCATCCACGGCGATATGGGACATATGGGCCGGGACATATGGGAGGTTCCAGAACGCAAAAGGATGCTCACACGGGCGCTGCAGCAAGGGTCCTGCTGTACGGAGGCAGACCCAGCCCACCACTTCCGAGCAGTTACAGCTGGAAAGGCAGCACTGGCCGTCCTGGTGAGCTCAAGCTTGCAAAGCGAGCACCGGCAAAAAGTGCGAAGCGCCCTGGGCCATGCCGTCCCCTGGATGTCGCAGCCCAGAGCTGCCGGGGACGTCCCCCGGCCGCCCCGTAGCGTCCCCACAACCTGATCTGTCTCACTTCTCCAGTTGTTTACATTTCCCCCCAAATCCCTTCCAATTTATCCAAGAAAAGAGTTTTTAGACTTTAACTGTTTGACTTCCAGCTCTCTTATGCATCAAATGACTTCTAAAAGCAGAAAAAATGCACGAAATAACGCAGGTATCTAGGCTTTACTTCTTCGGATGACTCAAACCCAACTTGCTGGATATTGCTCAGATCTCCCTAAGACATTCACCCTAGGGCATGAACCGAAGTTGGAAAGTTTCATCCCAAAATGGGTAAATGAGGAAAGAATGAGAAAAGGAAAAATGTCATCCAGCCCGAGCTAAGCTTAAGCTGCTGTTAATAAACGCTGGCGTGGGCACCCGTTGGCTTGTGTACCTCTGTGTGACCCCTTCCCAAATGGTGGCCTGGCTGTTTTTTCAGGTGATAACTCCAGTGGAACCATTACTGCACTTAAAAGGAGCTGTGTGCTCAGGGCAGAGAAAACCAGACTCATATTAGCTCCATTTTAGAGGAAGATAAAAGGGATTCTGGGGGATTTAATTGCAACCATGACCCAAAGCAGATCTACACAATGGAAAAAATATATCTAGGCAGAAAAGGTGGTTTACAGAGTGTTCCCAGAATTAGGAGCACGTCCTGCTGGTTAAAGTCTCCAGGTTTCAAGGTTAAAGTGCTTAATTTTATTTCAAGCTTTCTAATTAAACACCATTTAACTGGGCTTTCCATTTATCCTGCAATTTCTTTCTAGACCCGAGTCTAATCCGCAAACCTGCTTATTTGTTTTTACTTTCATTATAACATTATCAGTGATTAACCTGCAATTGCACTTAATCTTTTTAAAAGATTGCTCCAACTATAAATACAGAGAAGCTACCCGCCCTGTTTCTATCCAGAGGAAAACAACTTCCTCCACAGTCAGATGTCTACGGTGGGTTTTATTCTTCTTTTTGTAAGTTGATTTTTTTAATTGGAGATATTTGTCTTCCCTAACCTCATACAGAACATTGAATCACAAGAGTATCACTCTTGTGAAAGACATAACGGCACAGGCCACGAGCAATATGAATACCCCTCCAGTGTATATATATATTCAAAAGCATCTCTCTCTATATAAAAGTGTATATATATATTAAAACAGTATATATAAAGCCTCCAGTAAAGATGCTACTTGTGATAGTAAGGCAAAACCTAACACATTCATACAGATCCAACAACAGCAAGCTCTGCTTCTTCCTTCAGCAGTTCTCGGTTCCACTTATTTGACTCAAAAGCAGCAACAGCTAAAATATTGTTGCAAGAAAATCTGGTTTCTATGACTATGGACCTCTGAGAAATCCGTTAATCAGAAATATAAGTCAGGAGGAAGACTGCAATGCAGAATTTCCAGGGTGCTGGACTGACAATAAGCAACTGCCTGGCAAGATCCCGCAAATACTGCATTAATATTATTAGAGGATATCATATCAGCTCGATCCAACACTTAAGGACATCAAAGCGGAATGAGCAAAAGCTAATAAGAAATGCAGTAAAGGTACATGGAGCGTTACCAAATCCATCAGGAACATTACAAGGGCAGTGGAAGGAACAGACCTGTGATAAGCGCACGCTGCAAGATATTTAATAGGAACGAACGCAAAGGAAGCCCGATGCAAATACAGCAAAACCGGCAAATGAACGGAGTTACAAAGTTCAGCAGAAAGCCAATTTATGGCAACCCCCAAAACGAGAGGCACTAGACGAGCTGCCTATCTCCTCAGCCTACCTGTCATTTCTAAATAGTCCTGCACAGCAAACAGATCTGAGCTCAACTCTCCAACCAGCCTGTAAGCCCAACCCTACCTTGACCTTAATTATTACCTGGAGAATAATCCCTCTAAAGAACTAAAGCCGTAAACAGATCACAGAGGAGGATAATTTCAAATCTCCCCGTGGTTCCAGAATTACCAGTTAGGTATCCATCACCATCTAATGCTGCATGTTGAAAACTAAGATCTTCACGCAAGTATATGCCATTTAAGAAAGCTTTTTTCCCTCCTTCTGGTGATTACAAAAATATTACAGTTTACTACTAGTATTACGTGACCTCTGAGCCTCTAAAAAGTTTATAGGAAAATCTGTGAACTGCGTGTGGGGGCTTTCCTGGCTCCGTCGGTGCATCAGTGAGCAAAAAGATGGGAAACAACTGGAATTTTCAAATAAATCCACAGCAAAGGAACAGTAATCTACATGGTGTTTATTGTAGATATAGAGAATTATGAAAGCCGGTACAGCCCACTATTTGTTTAAATGCTTTTTCTAAACCATATCAAATCACAGCAGCAAATCAGAACCCCAGTTTGACTTTTGCACGTTTCCTGGTTTGATTATATAAATATTTATACAGTGAAAAAAAAAACTTTGCACTCCCCACCAAAACCTTCTATCCAGCAGGAAACCGCTTGCAAATGACTGAGGATGAGAAATATTTAGGGAGGTTTGGGTGAGTCCAGGTTTTCCCCTGCAATGTTAAGGGCAGTGGTGGCTTCAGACCCTCTTGCAGTATACTGGAGCTCATTAAATTTGTTCAAAAGAGAGCAAGCCATTGTTAATTAACACTAACATATATTCTGGCTTTTTCCGCCACAGAAACCCATCTATTTTGCAAGAGAAGGAAAAAACGCAACAAAATGAGAAGACCCCGTAGGAGGTGAAGATCAGCCCCAGGCTGCTGACGGGAAGAGGGATCACCCACGTACGGGGGCGATGCCGGCGCTGACACCCTTCACGAACCGTCTCATGGCCGTCTCATGGCCAGACCTGTGAAACGTGCAGCACTGCTCACAGGATTTGCTGAACACCTGAAAAGTCCCTCGGCCGTGGCTCCAGGGCTGCTCCCTGCGGCAAAACCTGCCCCAGCTTTTCCTCTGGAGGATGGAAAAACCGGCTCCTCTCGATGGAGCCAGCGGCGCTGCGGAGACCTGGCCAGCCGAAGCCTTGGGGAGGGTCTGCATCGTCTCACCCGGCACCGTCTCGCCCACCGCTTCTCAACACTTCCCAGCTCGCCAGCAAGTCGCTTTGGTTGGTGCTGGGTTTGAGGAAGAGGAGGAACTGGTGGTGCTGGAGGAAGACTGGACGCCTTGAGCCGTCAGCTGGACACGCTGGCTGCTGACTAGGTGTTCCCCTCCCCATCCAGCGCCCGCTCCCAGCACGGTTGGGAGAGCGCCGTCACAAGCGCCCCGTTGCAGCGAAGACCAGAGTGGCTTCTCCATGGGAAACGTGGCCAAGAGCCAACAAAGTGACCGAAAGGGGCTGGAAATTGGCTGCTGGAAATGTGGTGGGTCACTGATGTCCAGCAATGAGCACAGGGGACCACCTGCACGCTCCTGCATGCTTGTTTGCACGCTACGGGCTCTGGCCTGACTCTGAAACGCCGGCTGGGAGAGGAGAGCACTTACTGCACTTCTCTTTCCCGTCCCAGCTGGAAACCAACACAGCTTCTCTCTTTCTGCACTCGCTTTATCCCTCTGGCAGTGGCAGGCTGGTGCACCCGTGGAAACCCACGGCTGGAAGGGATCTCCCGGAACATCTCCTCATCCAGGATTGTGCTTCTCCATCCCTGAAAGATGCTCATCAAATCTCTCCGTAACAGCCACCGGCGATGGAGAGCCCACCCCAGGGTGGATGGCTGCAGGAACTCCTCTTCCCAGCAGCAAACCCAAGGTGGTCTTGGCACCACGCAGGGACCCTCAAGCATCTTGCAGTCTATGCACACCAGGATGGACCTCGGCCTTCTCGTGACAGTGTGATTTGGTCCGTGCTTGGCTTGTGAGCATAGTCCACATCCTTTTTGAATGAATCACTCCCCAGCTGCGGCTGACAACCTTGAGCCCGACAGAGAAACCTTGTTGGTTTTTTTTCCCTGGTTGTTTCTGGCCATGGGGTGACTCAGCTGTCAGAGGTGAATAACTCTTCACGCTTTATCTGAACACTCATTAACCATCCAGAGCCATAAAAAGCAACTTCTTCAGGGCTCCCTCTCCATAAGGCTGGATTTCGAAGCAAGAAGGCTGGCCTGAGATTTAGTGGGAATATTCATAAAGATGCTCAATAATAATAGATCTCCAGAGCACAGAAACCTTGTATGATTCTAGGTCATACGGCAAAGGGTTTTATCAACAGTGAGTGAAGGTCTGGCCAGAACAGAAAGGCAGATCCTACCTGCAGCACTTAGCGAAGCCTACAGCCACGGCATGGAGATCATTAACGACAAAAAGCTTCTACCCCAGGCGTTGGCCTGACTCCTACTCCTGCCCCAGGGCCTGTTTGTTTTTCATTTCTCTTCTTTTTCTTCTTCTTCTTTCTCCGAAATCTCAGCAGCAAGGATTTCTTCATCTTCTTGTGCCGTAGAAATCACACGAATGGTGACTAAACTATCAGAAGATTTTGAGAATATTTCTTCTCCCAGGTGGGTGTGTGCTTTGTGGGAGGCGACAGGCGATCTCCGGTGCACTGGTGATTTCGGTGGGATCGGACTGAAGCTGGAACCCTGCGATCCAAAAAAAAAAAGGCAAAATCAACCTTAACAGACCCTTGTCCACTACCCCCAAGCCAGGCAGGCGTTTTGCGGAGTTTCACCGCACCGGACCTCACCATCGGGGTGTCAGCTTGCTGCCAAAGATGACCCCTGTGAGAAGGGCAGCTGGATTATACCCTGCACATCTGGAGAGAAGCGCATAGAGATGCGTACAACGCTCACACCTCCTGCACTAGCTCTTCTTCTGCTCCTGAAGCATCTGGAGGGGTTGATCTTGGCAAAAGCTTGGCAGAAGCGGTGTTGTGAGGGAGCAGCCTTGGACTGCCCTGTCCTAAAACCTCCTTTAGAGAGGAGCCTCAGAAACCTCACCTACGGACGTGCCACGGAGAGGGATGTCCTGCGAACGGGGACTTGTTGCCACTACCGTATGGAGCGCGCGGTGCCACTGTTCACCGCTGCCTTTAGCTGGTTTTTAATTAGTGTTAAGTACCACATCTTCTGAAGCCTCGTTGTGCTTTTGTGAAAGACTGCAGGAACGCAGTTACGCTCAGCGTCTCCCTGGATATTTACCCAGCCTCAAGGCCACCGCGCGCTCCCTATCAGCTCCTCTTTCACCTCCGTTTACACGTCCAGATGTGATAGTCTGCATAACTCCATGGCGGGAAGGGTAACAACAAGGTCTGCATGGAGATACGACCTTTGTCACGAGTTCAGCAGAGACACTTGGAAGGAAAAAAAAAAAAAAAGAAGAGCAGGGCCACCTTCTTTTTCAGCTGCTCATGACAAAAAAGCAAGGGTGGTTCCACTGCAGCTCATGCCGAGCCGGCAGGGTGGCGTGCCCGCTGCTGGGGGCCTCGGCCCCAACCACACCGTGAAAGCTTTGCACATACTGACTGGCCTGTGGATGCTGGATGCCAGCATCAGCCTCTGTCCCGCCAGCACATCAATTAATTACGAGTGGCTCTGTCTCCGTGGCACGGAAGAGATGTTCATCTCTGGCTATAGCCCAGCTAGAAACTAGACTCGGGCTTAGCATAGCTAGGCAAGAAGTCAATGTATTTCCCTTTTGTGTTGCAAAACAAACCCTGTGGGACAACGACATTCTCCCCAGGCCACGTGTAAGATGCTGGACCACCCCTTCCCGTTCGCCCGCGCTACATCAGACCCCGATGATCTGAGCTCGCTCCTTTAAGGCACCTTAATGACAGCCGCTGGAGCTGGTTGGGAGAGCAACGACTTGGCATCTAAGGAAGCAAAGCCAAATTGCCGTCCTCCCCACGCTGACCTGCGTCGCCTGCATCGCCTTCAGCTCCTTCAGCCTCCACCGGAGCTGCGCCAGCGGCCCTTTGCCCCCCATCCTCCCCGCGGCGGCCAGGGCAGCCTGGAAGAGCTTCGGGGTGTCAGCTTTCGGGGGGATAATCAGCGGGTCTCCGGGTGCTCCCTTCTCGTCTTTGGGTTTATTGTTGTTTTTCAGCATTTTCCTACAGCAAGGAAAAGGAGAGATGATTTCAGTCTGGGGACATGTTACATTAGCTGGATTTTATACTGCAGAAAAATCAGACTTTAAAAGGACAGGGATTTTTTACACCTTAGGAAGGACAGAATAATAAATCTAAGTAATGCTAAAAACTAAAGTGAATATTTTAATAGATTTTTTAAACAAAGGCACTTTGGCCACGTTCGTTCCCGACTTGCACCCGCTTTTAGCGGTGAAGCTTTGCAGCAGGGCTGGGCTGGCTCTGGGCATCTCCAGGCACCCCAGCCCGGCGGCGAGGGACGGGTGCCCTCTGCCGAAGCGCGGCAGCTCCAGCCCGGCTCTGCTCCGAGGACGCGTGCCTAACGCCTGCAGCAGGAGTTTTCCCAGTGCTTCACACAGAGAGAAATCTCCCCTGCGATCTTGAAACCCGTAATCTGCTTTTTTTAAAACCCCACAGGCTAGAAAGCAGCAGCCCAACACGCACTTGGCCTTTTTACGCAGCAGCTTCTGAGACTCTGGATAATGCACCAAAATCTCATTCAAGTCCTTCTTATCCAAAATGAAGAGGTTAGCGAAGCCGTGAGCGATGACGTTTGCTGTTCGGCGATTTCCCCCTCCTGCCGCCAGCAAGCTGAGAGATACACAGCGAGACGTTAACACTGTTATTAACGGGCTCAGCACAACATTTGTAATTTAAAATCTCCCTTTTCCCATCGTGTCCCCCCATCTCTCTCTTTCAGAGGACTCAGAGTTTAATTTTCATGCCCGATGAAATTTTCCAAGCCGAATTTTTAAAGAATGCTGGGAAACGTTGTCATGGAGCGCTATATAAAAAATGATTTGCCTGTTTGAAGGTTTAAATATTGCATTTTACACCACTCTAGTGTCTGCTGGGCTATAGGGAGGTAAACTCTTGGTGTTACAAATTGGTATAGGACTTTACATGCCCATGATTAATGGCCGGGGGGCTGTTTTAGTGAAACATCTTATCATTTTCCCATCCCTCCATACACCTCTGCTTACTGTCACTAGCTCCCCAGGCAGAAAACAGCTCGATGACAAAAATAGTGGAAAAGCTCCATGAAAAAAAGCTGTAATTTGTGTAGCGGGCGCTGCTCAGTGTTCATGGCTTTCAATCACAAAGATTAACCAGGGTGTGCCTCCCAGCCTCCGTGCCCGGAGCCCGCAAGCTGTATTTCCCCAGCTCCCTGGCAATGCTTCACTCACCTTATTTCTCCAAACACGGATCCAGCTTTCAGAGTCACCAGCACGGTTTTGCCGTCGGGTCCCCCCAGCACCTGCACTTGCCCCGCCTGAATAATGTACATCTCGCGGCCGATTTCTCCCTGCAATGAAGACGGGTGCTGCATGGGGTGCCCAGAAACAGGGAGACCTTATGGGTGCCCTAACCTGCACCTTGCTGGAAACCCTCACGACCATACTGCCCTCTCCAAGCTCTCAAAACACTTTGTCCTGATGGTGCTCACTCCCGAGCATCCTCATCTAAGCATCCCAAAGTCTCCTCCAGCTGGGCAGGCTCTTCCCATCTCTCCTGCTGTTCATGGCTGCAGCAGAAGAGGTCAGTCTTTGCACAAGACCAGCTGCAACCGAGGATGTTTTTGCTCTGAATTCCCTCCCTGTGAAGCGGCTGGATGCCACGGTGATGGGCCAGGCCTGGCTTTCCCCACTCTGGATTGCTCCTACTGCCCTGCACAGCCTGGACACAACACTGGGGATGGGAGGGCACCCAAGCACCTCAATACCTTCTTACACACGTAGTCATTAGGCAGGTAGACCACCGATCTGAGCCGCTTCAGCATGTCGAAGATCATCTGCCTGTCGCAGCCCTGAGCCGAAACAGAGCCAACAGCGCCGTTAGTCTGCGCTGGCATGCCAGGCTCCACCAGCCAGGACCCGCGCTGCAGAGGGTACCTGGAAAAGGGCCACTTTGCTCACGATGTTGTAGTTCACGTCGATGGCGATGTCCAGCCTCATCTTGTCCGGCAGCTGCACCAGCAGCTCTAACTCATCTGTGAGAAAAAGCAGAAAACTGGCTGTTTCCAGCACTTGATCCTTGGCGTGGCACTGGGAAAGGAGCCCATGTTCTGGTGGCAGAGGGCAGGAGCCAGCTCACCCAGAAGGGTCTCCTCCAGCCTCTGCCCACCCAGCAACCTGCAGGTCTAAAGCCAACGGGTGATGGAGAGACACCCTTCGCGTTATCCCTGCCCTGATGGCTCTCAGAAACAGACCGGTAAGCCCAAGCCAGCATCTTTCTTGGCCAGGAGAGCGGGCGCAGAGGTCCTGCCTGATGATTTACTGGTAGGGTGAGCTAGTGGGTTTGCTGTGGGACACGCTCTGGCCAGCGATTGCCAGTCACTGCCCTCTCCCCAGGGACCAGCGGGTGGGATGCTGGACTCAGTGCTCTGTGAGTGATGCTGGGTCACCGAGGTGCTGTGACCCCTATATACTCTCTCAGTGGGCAAACAAGCCCGTATAGCAAAGAGTAAAATAAGCCACCCCCTGCCCTGAAACTGTAGTGCTATTTGCCAGTAATGTTTCAGCTCTGCAAAGCAACCGCTGTAAAATACATGCGGTGCAAGTGTTGACCCTTGGAGTGGTCGGATCTCACCTAGCATGCCTTGCGAATGCCACGTGTACTCGTACCACGTTTTCACCCGGTTCTGAACAGTTTTGGGGATTTTGTAGAAGTTCATGTATTTAATGGTACTGTCCATGCAGCTCCGATAGTAAGTTTGCCCTGCGGTAGCGGCGCCAACCACATCTCTCATCTGAATGGGAGGAAGGGGTGGAAGACATGTTTTAATTGCTGTCACTTATCCATCACACAGGTTACAGTCTAGAGCACGTATGCTGAGTCCTAACAGCACCTGCCAAATACTTTTTGTCTTCCACCAATGCAGAGCAGGTCCTTGCATGGGGAAGACAAACTTGGATGTACAAACCTGTGGACCAACCCCACCGAAACCTTCCCCACCTGAGGCTGGGAACCCCACACGACTCCTGCTCACCTGCCCTATCATGACGGAGAAAGCAAAGACACCCGTGAAGTAGTTCAGCAGCTGAAAGACGATCTCGAACAGTGTCTTGGGGTCCGGCAGGCCCCCGATGGTGATGAGGGTTTTGACTGCCCAGTAGTAGCAGCGGATGTAGCTGGGAGGAAAAGAGGAGGCAGCTTTGAAGGTGTTTCTGGCGTGAAGGCCTGTTTCACCCCTCGGTACCGAGCTCACATCCTCTGGCCACGGCAAGCCAGAGCCTGCTGAGAGTAATTATGGGTGATGAAGGGAAAATTAAGGGGCTGCAGACTCCCCACGACACCTGCATCTGGAGATGCTACAGGAGCAGGAGGACATAGGGACCCTCCAGAAACCTTTGCGTGGGATGCTCAGCTGCTCTGGCTACTCCCATTTGCTGCTTCTTACAGCTCCACTACCATAAACCAGCAACGTATTTTCAGCAACATATACATTTTTAGAAATAGTCAGGGGAAAAAAGGGTTTGTGAGCAAATTGTTGGCATGGGACTCAGGAACTCTTGATTCACTGGTCTTGGGCAGTCCCTTGGATGTTATAGTTACACCTAGAGATAGACATAAGTATGTATATCACACAAAATAACTATATAGCAGTAACATTCACATGGGAAGCTGAGCACTCAAAGGGAAGGCAACACCTGCACTAAGGCTGCCTGGGTGACAGTCACTTGTCCCCACCTACAGCCACACCTCACAGTAAGTCTTTAATGCCCTGGCCCATGTCTTTTTTCAGGAAACTCTCATTTACTGCATGGTTCTAAATTAGTTAAATGTCACTCAGTATTTTATTTGGCCCATGTTGTAAAACTTGCAGGTGTGGGCATTCACTTCGAGGCAGCGTTCAAGCTTGTGAGCCGAGTGCTCCCCCTGTGGCATCCGTCACCGACAGTGCAATGAACATTTAACGTGTATACTTGTAAATGCCATGGCGAGAGGACGGTGTGGCCACTGTCCCTGGGAATGAGGGCGCTGGGCTGGTCCAAGGGGTCTGACACACGGCACCTAGGACCCGATTTCGTGGGGTGTGTGATGCTGCATTGAGCCCTTAGGTTCAAAGCGCAGCCCCGCATCTCCAAGCACAGCCTCAAGCCTCCGTCCCGGCCTGGCAGCAGGTCAATGCGAACAGAAACAGGGCTCACAGGGCCATCCCACCCAGCCAGGGAGTGTTTCCTTGTTTCCCAGCACCAGGTTCCCAGTTTTTCAGCCTCTTTGACCTGCCATTGCTTTCCATCTCAGCCCAGCTGCAGCCTCCTCGTCTTGCAGCACCGTATATTACTGCACATCCCACCCCCCCTGTCCCCGTCATTCTCTGTGGCTCCGCATCTTCTCCTGGCACCCCCAACCCTTTGCTTCAGGGGTTTTTATGAACCCAGCTGCATCCTAATACCTTCCTTCTTTTCCAGCTCATCACAGCAAGCTGTGCTACATGAGGACCCTTGTTTCCTGTACCTGTTTCCTTCCCCATCGTAGACCCAGGTGGTAGAGCCCAGTCCTTCGTAGGCTGATGCCCAGTAATAGAGGCAAGAGTTCACGTGCAAGCTGTACAGTAAATAGGCAGTGGTCCGAATCACTCTGCAAGAAAACAGGGGGGAGCAGGAGGGGAGATGATATGGTGTCTGCTGGGAGAAACACATCAGATCCCCCCCCGGCATCACAAGGAACTTCGAAGCGATGAGCCGCGTGCTGCCCGTGCAGGTCCTGCCAACGCAGGAACCACAGAGCACCCGGACGCGCGGCCCTGAAGCTCCAGAAGTGCAGAAAAAGCAGCTTATCTGCTGGTGGCTCCTCTTCACGGCCAGCACCCCTGTCCCTGCTGGGTTGGGGAGAGGTGATCCTACCCACCCAGGCTCCGGGACCCCCACATCCCGCCTGCATCAGCCAACGCCCATGTCAGCCGGTCCAGGGACAGCGGGGAAATAAATCAGAACGGGTGCACACCAAAGTGAACCTTCTCCCCCAGTAGCAAACGGCAACTCCACGCTCTCTCCCTCCCTCCCTCCCCCTCACCTGTAGATGTACGCCTTGCTCAGGATAGCCTCCAGGCGGTTGTTGAACTCGAAGAAGGCCATGTACTGGGAGGAGAAGGAAAGCAGCGTGCTCCAGCTTCCCGCAGCCCCCGCCGGGAGAGTTACATCCCCATAAAACCCCACTCACCCTCCGTTCCCCTCCTGCGGCCCCTCTGCAACATGAACTGCCGTGGACAGATTTGGCTCCATCTATAAGTGCCCTTCTATTCAAACGTGACCGTGTTTTAGGATTGAAATGAAGTGTTTGACCAACAGCCCCGCAAAGCCTTCGGGACGAGACTTCCCGTCCATTTTACAATCCTCTTGTCATCATCGATGAGTCTAACAAGCCATGGCTTACCCAGCCAGCGTGGGACTCCTTCACATCCACTGCAGCTGGTGTTTTGCCTGATTTTGTAAGCTCCAACTCACCTTCAGACAGCGAGGAAAACGCAGGAGTGGGTTGACACCGACTTTGAAGTAGAAGAAATCCAGGGGCAGGAGGCACACCACATCCATCTGAAATCCGCATAAAGAAAGAAACCTCTGTGGGGACCTGCAGGTGTGGTGGGTGAAGCTGCAAGCCACGGTTCAGATTAAAGATTCAGATTAATAAATAAAATTACATCGAACCTTAAAGCGTTGCGATCGCAGGTAGTTCTCTTTCATGGCCTTTTTATCGGTCTGGTTGGGAATAGGAGGAAGAGAGAGAGAGGAAGATTGATCATTGCTTACAGAAAGGAAAGTCATGGCCAACGTGGTCATGCCTGGCTTTCCTCTTCTGCACCACAGCAGGGAAGATGCTCCCTTCATGCCCGGGAAGGGAAGCAGAGCAAAAGGAGCAGAAGAAGACCTGGCCGTATGCCATCTTCCCATCCTATCTTGGGACATCTTGTGCTCGTTTGGCATCCCAGAGAAAGCACATTGCAGCGCCAGCACCACAAAAATCACAGTTTACAGGAGAAACGTCCCTGTCTGAGCATTTGCACGGGCAATGGGAAAGCTGTACCCTCAAGGTTTTATTTTTCACAGCTTATTTAATTGGATATGGAAACAAAATCAAGGGCTTTCACTTATCTCAGGCGCATGATCTATGCATTCAGATTCCAATCGCTTTTGTCATACCGCTAATGCATTCTGCCTAGCTGTGCTCCTGAAAATTAAACCCAGAGTTTATTACGCCATCTGCTCACGGTTAGCAGCGTACGGCTGCGCCAGAGCCAGTCGGCGTGCACCTCACCGCACCACTGGCAGGACCGCCCCACAGAGCAGCACCCTCCGAGCATCCCTACCCAGGAACGGGGCCACTATGGACCACACGCTTCCTAGATGGGCTGGTATTGACTTTAGGGGGAAAATACGTATATTTGGCGGACAAGAAGACGGCCAGCTTATCCACTACATGGCAGGAGAGATGCTTGCAGTCCTCCAAGAATGGACACGGCCCTGGTGGCGATGGCCATGGTGGGAGAGCTTGGAGAGCTCGATTCAGAGACCAGTGACCAGCACTATCCATGCCACTCGGGGTAAAGGGGATGGGAGGTCCCCGCAGCTGGTCCCCAGCAGCAGGACACGGTGGGCTGCCACTCACAATTATGTCTCCTCCCCGGACAAACTGTAGCCGGGTCTGAAAGACGAGGATGTCCAGCAGATAGATGAAGTCGCAGAGGTAGTCCATGAGCAGCCAGTAGTGGATGTTTGCCGGCGTCTGGTAGGGGAAAGCCCAGCGGACGGGGATCAACCAGCAGTTCCAGTTCCAGGCCATGACAACGAAGAATAGCCACAGCACGTACATCAGGTCTGCACACAGGGAACCGCACCACGATTAGCGGGGCGCACGTCCCTTGTCTGTGTGAATCCACCACGCAAACGGGTTTTTACCCCCCTGACCTGCCCTGAGTGCAAGGAGGAAACCTGCAGGAGGTCTCTTATCGACAGCATTTAATTGCAAGTAGGCTGGGCTCTAGATGCAAAGTGAACACCACCGGTTGCAGAGCACGTTGCTTTTTATCAGAAAGCCTCTTCTAACTTTGCTGGTTCAACTAGGTTTGCTTTTGCTTTGCTCCCACAATACCGACTTTCCTGCTTTGCTTTTTTCCCCCGGAGGCTGTGCTGAGCCAACTGCTGGCTGCCGGAGCCTGGAGGCTTTGAAATGGCTGTGAAATAGCAAGGACTAGGGAAGGAGCTGGGTTCCTGTGGGGTGTCCGCTGCACAGTGGATTTTTCTTTTGAGATTTTTATTTTCATTTGGGGTGTCCACACCACAGGGACAGCATTAGCCCACTAAAAAGCCTGAAAAGCAGAAGGCGGCTGCCCCTTCCCTGCCTGGTCGTGCTCCTGACACCCACAGCCATCGGGAAGTATTTAGGAAAGTCTGTGCCTTGCAGGGGAATTTTAAACTCTGGTTTTTTAGTAGACAGGTGTAAGCTAAGTTGCTCCTTGCTTAGTTGTCCTCCCTTCCCTACAAGGTCTCATCTTCTACGCTTCCTCGCCTGCTCCCCTCCTTACCCTCTCTCCCCCAGCCCCGGCCAGTTTGCCCCCAGCCCGGGCACGCGGCCGTGCTCCATCACTCACTGGTGAGCGGGTCGATGCTGCTGGGGAACTGGTAGTTTTTCAGGCGGACCAGCCAGGGCCGGTACTTGAACGTGCAGCACAGCATCTCGCAGTAGTGCTCATCCCCCGCTGGCTTGTCCCCCTCTGGCTCCCCCCCCGGGGGAGGGACCGGTGCTGCCGCAGGCGCCAGCGGGAAAGGCCACGCAGTTATTTTAAAGAGCAGAAAAACATCTCACGGCAATTTGTTTTAAGGTCTTGAAATTGTTAATAAAGCAGCTGTCTCCGTGAAAACACATCATGTGTGGGGACCCCCCAGTTAAACGCTCCCAGCCCCACTCGAACTCACATGCCGCAGGGCTCTCGTCGTCCGAGGTGACATCGGGGTCGGTTAGCTTCTCCTTCACCTTCTCGGTCCTCTCTTTGAAGAGCTTCACCAGCTCCTGGAGCCGGTTGTTGATGACGGCGCTGCTCAGGCTCGTGGCTGAGCCGATGCGCTCGGGCAGGCTGCGAGGAGACCATCAGGCATTTCATGCAGGTAGGAAAGCCCAAGGGCAGGTTCATGGCCCATTTTTTAACCTACAGGATCCTGAATTAGGATTTACCCATATTTATTTGGCTATTGTGTAATCAGAAGAACACAAGTGAAGGTGGTTTCAGTAAAATACCATCAAGCAGCACCAGCCTGAGCCTCATCCTTGCCCTGGGGTGTGAGATGCCCTCAGAGGGACTTGGGAAGCACCAAGATCCCAGGTTGGATTGCATGTGCTTGGGAGAGGAAGATTTTGGAAGAACTATGGGGTGAAAATGGGCACCAAGCCCCTGAATTTATAAACTACATCGTCTCTTTTCAGCCCCTTTATTAAAACTAGGTTGGATTCAGACCAGGATGCTTTACCTAGCATGATTGATAAGCAACACTACGAGGGAGGACAAAACCAAGCTCGTTTGCTGTAGCTCCAGGCTGGTTCATTGTGATAATTGGCACAACGACCTCTGCCCGGGAAGAAGGCAAAACCCTGCACCGTGTGGAGGTGCAGACCCTCCCCAAGACTTTGCTTCCCGGGGAGGGCAGCTCCCTCCAAGGCTGTCCCCTGGGGCTGCCGGGAAGCCAGGACCTGGGGTGCGCGATGCACAGCTTGTGCTTGCTTCCTACACGGAAGAAAAAGGTTATTTCTCCACAATCAGTAAAAACAAGGTGTCCCCATAGTGCTGTAGCGTAGATCGAAGGTGCATCTTCTCTGTGGTTAAACCTAGTCTTAAGGAGAATATTTCTACCTGGATACAGGAAAAACAAGAGCGCAGTTTCTGCTCCAGGGAGCATCATGATCGGTTTTTTTTGGAAAGGGAGTGTATTACTTGTTATACAGTGCTAGACCCGCTGCGGGCACGGCTCCCTCTCTCTTTGGTATCCGAGCACTTCTAGGATCTTTGCTATTTCCACCCTAGCCCCAGGATCCGAACCCCTGGGAGCTTGGCTGATCCGGAGCCCCTCGGTCTCACCACGCACCTTTCTCTCTGCTCCTCGTCGCAGCCCAGCAGTGCTCGGGTGGGGGACTGGCTCACCAGTCCCACGTCCAGACGGTCCGCTGGGGCCAGCAGCTTCCTCCTGTGGACACAATCACAGCAACCAAGGCTCAGCTTGTCCCCTTTCCTCAGCCAGCTCTTCTCCCTCCTCCTCTTCCTCCCAGGTCTCATCTGTTTCCTCTTCCCTTTCTCCTACGAGGGTCAGTTTTCCCGTCATTTTTGGCATTGCCTGAAGTCAATGGGAGCAAACTACCCCGCTCCTTTGCTGCTAAAGCCCTGTTCCTTCCTGGGCACCACCAAGCCCACGGCTGCATGGGCATGCAGCCACCTGGCCAATTTTGCACCCCATTTTGGGCACCTGGCAAGATGCACGGAGGGCGGGTACCGCTCCATGCTCATCCCCAGTGCTGCACCGTCACGCCACTGCACTTCGAGAGGCAGGCAAGGAAAACGCAATGCTAGTAAGGTGGAGCAAGAAAGTGAAATCTGGAAAAAAGGGAGGGTACCGGACACCGCCTGGCTCTGAGCTGGCTCCATAGCACCTTAAACCTCTGAGACAAAGAGCAAACTGCAGAGCAGCGGGTACATAACATGGACCCTCTAATGGCTGCTCACACCTGCAAAGTATAACAGCCAAGAACGGCACCAGGTTCAAGAGGAGCCAGTGGCAGCTGATGTCTTCCTAGAAGATGTGTCCTAACACAGCTGGTGGCTCCCTTTGGCACAGACAGGTTTCTAGGACAACTTCCTTATATGTGGGCAAGCAATGTGGCAGAAAGATCTGAATACGAAGATGACAATCTCACCAAAAATCTGGTTTGCAAACCCCCAGTCAAGTTCAGGGTTTTAACTGCAACAAAGAAATTGTCTTCTGCCACCGCAGCTGTTGCTCTGAATTAACCAGGATTTCACTGACCCTGGTGCAAAATGGCTCGGTGCTCTGTGTGCAGCAGGAGCAAGCAGGACGCTGAGAGAAGTCATCCTGCCATCACAAGTCTCCTGAAGAAAGCCAAATGTGATGAACCCACCCGCCTCCAGCCTCGATGGCTCTCAGGCGTGCCCTGCTGGGAAGGGGAACAGATGAACAAGACCAACGAAACCTTCATTCCCCAAGCGCGCAGCACAGGGGCAGAGGAAAACCACCAACCCCCCTGTTAAAGTACCCTTAGATGTGGATGGAGAGGTTCCCAAAACCACATCAGTTTGGAGAAATAGTCCTGCCAAGGTCCGTGATGTTGTTAGGACAACATCCATGGCCTCTCACCAGTCTCCAGCTGCCCTTCCCCTGCCCCTGCCCCCTTCGGGCACCGCGCTGCCCCACTGCCCATCCTCATCCACGAGCAAGCCCAAGATGCCTACATCGACAACCCAATGGCCTCCTGCTCTGTAAGGGGGACCCTGCAGAGAGGGTATCGCCGTCCCCCCCTCTTTGCCTGTGGGATGACTCCCCACGGGCCACAGAGCTCACGTGGTTGCCCTCCGAGTACATGCAAAGCTTTGTGTGTCAGCATCCATCTGGGAAAAAAAAGTCTCTTTTTGCTTCAGATTAATGGATGCCCTCGGAAAGATGTAAAAGGAGATGAACGTCCCCAGGAAGGCTGAATTCCAGAGGCGCAGGAAACATCCCTCAATATTCTGTGGTGCCTGTAGTTCACCTGCATTCCCAGTAGATGCGGATGGGAGAAGGAGCAGGAGCTACCCAAAAAGCAACACAAACTTCAGCAGCTTTTGGAAACTGCTGGGTGAAGGGCTTAGAGAGAATCTGGGATGTTACGTCAAGTCCCACGGAGAAGCTCATGTATGTGCAACCCTAAGTCCAAAACTCTGGCAGACCTAGCAGTTTCTCAGCCATCCATGGAAAAAAAGGAAGCTGTGTGATAATCCCCTGGAAAACATTCGGCCCTTTGACACATTCCAGCTGCAAGGGACATTTTTTGGGACAGGACCTCCAGACTGCGGGTCAGAATGGCATTAAAAGCCAGATTTTTTTTCCACTAATGCATGAAGACTTCAAACTGCATCTCCTACGATACAAAGTGACCCAAGAGACACATAGCTAGTGAAGAGAAGGAGTGCACGTAGACCAAATAAAAGCTAAAGGTAAATAAATAAATAAACAATAAATTAATAGTAAATAAATTGAGAAGTAGAAATGCACAGCACAGGTACAAAGAGCTGCACGAACCCCCTTGCACAAATATGCAGGAAGCCAAGCGTGAAAGGATTTGAATACAAGCAATAAAAATGTAAATCGCCACCTCAAGAGACCAGGTAGAGAGTGCAACTGCCTACATAAAGCTATAGGGTGAGCAACACAAGGCCGGCAGCCGCTGCCTGGGCTTGGCCATTGGTGTGGACCGTGGGTCGCTGCCCTGATGCTGCCCAGAAGCGAAGCCTCCAGCTACGCTCAGGTAGCTCTGCGGCCACCACGCAACCATCCACTGAACAGCCAGCCGTGACGGAAGACCCCGTCGCAGCCTAAACATTGTTCTATTTTCAATGCCTTGGAAAGCTGCGGCCATAAGCACCAGGCTGCCCTGCGCCTGTCTGGAGCAAAGTGGGATGCACAGGGGCCCTGCCCATATGGCATCGTCCGATGCATCACCTGCAAGAGCCTGCTTCCAGGCACCAGTTAGACAACGTGTGGCTCATTTGCAGTGAGTCGCTCGTGACTCTGTCTAAACACCGTTAACCCTAATCCTTCACAGCCCCACACAGGAAAAACTCAAGACTGTGGCCAATAGAAGTGACTTAGGATAAATGGATGATCGCTCAATGCAGAGTTAATGTTCTCTTCCTCTGAAAACACCAGCTGGAGCCGAGCATTTTCCTTCTGGTTCAGAATGATGACATTTTATTTCTTTATGTAGCAAAACAGGAGCTGCCTGCTTTTAAAAATCTCCAGCTCTACCAAGGGATGTCCAGTGTTGTCTTGAAAGACACTACCTGGAGACATGTAGCATGAGAAACTGAGGTGCTGCAAAAAATAGCTCTACTGGAGAACCATAGGATCACAGAATGGTTTGGATTGGGAGGGACCTTTAAAGGTCATCTAGTCCAACCCCGTTGCCGTGGGTAGGGACATCTCCCACTAGATCAGGTTGACTCAAAGCCCCGTCCAACCTGACCTTGAATGTTTCCAGGGATGGGGCACCCACAGCTTCTCTGGGCAACCTGGTCCAGTGTCCCACCATCCTCATCGTAGAACATCTCTTCCTTATGTGCAATCTAAACCTACCCTCTGCCAGGTCAGAACAATTACCCCTTGTCCTGTCACTACAGGCCTTGGCAAAAAGTCTTTCTCCACCTTCCTTATAAGCCCCCCCTAACATATTGAAAGGCCACAATAAGGTCTTTTATCAAAAGACTTGACAAAAAATGATGGTAGGGACAGAACTGTACATAGATAAGTGGATCTAAATAAACTAAGGTTGTTCCTTTGGGTTGCTGGGTCCTGGGCTCCAAAGATGCCCGAGATGTGTTGGGATGCATGACATGGGTGTTAATCTGAATTGTCGTCCATTTTCTATGTTGGTTGAAGGCATAAGAGAAAGCCCATCACCTTGACCCTGATCCAAAGCAAGAGCTGCCGCACCTGCTGATGGAACTAGAAAACATGGACTTTTCTATCTCAGAAAAATATCCTGGGTTCATTAACCCCAGAGAGAAAAACGCATCCCGAGCAGCGACGGCCAAAGGTGTTTCCCCAGACTGATCCTGAGCGCTCTGTGGCTGAGGGCGTGAGCCTCGACCGCTCTCCAGTGACGAACTTCTTGTCACAGGAAAATTTTTGTTGCTGGGCTAATAGAAAAAAAGGCAGTGAGATTCAGCAGGCTTTAAATAACTGGCCTCTTAACGCTGTCAGTATTTGCACTGCAGGTATTTTATATGGCTCCTTGGGTTCTGCTTTCCCAGTTTAAAAAGCTGTTCAACAGACTGGGTTACGGACTTTTTTGTCATTTTAGTTTCAATTCCTCCAGGAGCTTGTTTACTAAAAGATCCAAACTATTAAGCGAGGATGAATATTACACCCGGTTTTCAGCACAGAATAAAACACCTTGGTTTTTATTTTTAATCCTCTTCAAGAATGAGCCTCAGAAAACCCCAACAACCAAAAAACCATCAGCTTCCTCCAGCCTCAATTTTAAAGCTCAGTTTTAACCCTCCCCCTCTCCGAGCATCCTTGATCCGAAGGCGCAAAGCCGGGGGGGGAGATGCTGCAAACCCTTCCAGCAAAAACGCAAGAAGAAAATTGTTGGTTTTGATGACGAAGGCCCGCATCCCGCACGCAGACCCCTCGTGTTCTGAATCTGGGAGCACAGACACTTGTGTCAGCAGACAAACGGGATCTGATCATGACCTGAGGATCGAACCCATCTCCAAGAGGACACACAGATCTGTCCCTGGCCCCCAAAAGCTTTAAACAAAATTTAACTGTTTAATTAAAAAATGCAAACACGAGGCAAGGCTTTCGGCATCTCCCCTGCCTTGCGTTGGGGGTGACACCCGCCGCACACACGTTGCCCCAACTCACTGTCCAAACCTGCCAGGAACAGGTTGCTCCACAGGGTTGAATTAACTTCCCTGTACCGGCACCATCGGGGGGATGAGACCCCCGGGAGCCGGGGACCGCGCCTGGGCAGAGCCATACCTGGGGGATGCTGGCGCCGTGCCGGGCACCGCCAGCATGTTGGGAGCGCCGGCGGTGGGCACCGGTAAGTGGGTACCGTTGGTCTCCACAGCATCGCCTCCACTGTCCACATCCTTGATGTCCACGGTGGGGTAATTACCTGGCCCGTGGAGAAGGACAATAATTGCAGGTGAGAGGGGCGAAGGGCCCAGCCTGCAGCCAGGATGAATCCCCAAGCCCCACTGCCTCCGCGGAGCTGCCCCCAAACCCTGCAGCGTGCTGGAAGGACTCTCCTTTTCCCTCCATTCCCTTCTCACCCAGCACTCCTAACAGTTTGGAGCATTTCTTTCTCTTTTTTGCCCAGTTTTTAACACTGTAAGAAGCGCCACCTGCTTCCCTTCTGCTTTCCCAGCTTGCAGTGATTGCAACTACTCCGTGTGAGCGTTGGGTCCCCACGGTTCGGAAAATGATGGAGATGAGGATTACCAGCTGCAGGTATTATGCAGGAACCCAGGATTTCCAGCTGCAAACCTGCCTCCCAGGGTCTAGAAAATCTCCTGGGTCTTCTGAACATAAACATATGGATCATGCAAGCTCCAAATTACACGAGCGTTTGCTTTTCATGCAGAACAAGGCACTATTTAAATAAGTATTTATGGCCTCTCTCTTTTGCAGAGGTAATAATTGCTTCCTGCCACAAGGAAGGTTAGAAGCAGAAAGGTTGGATGTTTATAGTGGGTAAGGAGAGACGCCAATTGCCCAAGGGAGAAACGGCGCTGGGGGTTGTCTTGGCTAGACCCCGCAGCCGGCCGGGCTGTGGAGTATTGTCCCTTTTCTTTGCTATATAACAAAACGTAATGAGTTCCTGCAGATTTTCTTCTAAGGGAGGTTTTCACATGTCTGCGTCTCCTCCTGTCCCACGCTGATGTGGGACCAGTGGATGAGAGGGTGGCTCGACCAAATCACCGAGAAAAGGCCTGTTTGGGCTGCAAAGTTAAAATCCCATTGCATGTAAGGAAAAGCAGCAGAATTTGGCTTGCTGGTTAAAAACAAAGCAAAGCAAAGTTACAGAAACATAATTTGTACTTCTGGGTTAAAAGGCAGAAAACTGTAAACAGCAAACCTCCGTCTTACTGTCCTCTTAGTATGAGTGGGTTACGCGAATGCTAAGGAGAAAACTGTGTGTGCAGCGGATATTTAACCCTCTGCCTGCAGGTCCTTCGGGAGAGTTTTTGGCCGTGCAGGTCAAAACATACAGCATATCATTTACAGGTATTTGCAAACGCTCTCTAGGGGTTAGCTAGAAAGACACATAGTGATGAGGCAGAAGCAGAAAAAAACATGCATTTTGTTCCTCAGCCTCCGTGCTGCAACATGAAGCGCGCTTTTATTTATTTTTTCCCAAAAAAGCAACAAAAAGCAACTACTCCGGGAATAACCCCTTGCCCCCCTCAAGCTACGCAAGTCCATCGTCAAAGCCGACATCTCTAATACCTAGCGGGGATTGCTCCTCATTGCAAAAATTGGGGTTGACAACTCCAGCCTTTGCCTTTCTGGTGACAAGGACGGGGATGCGGGAGGCAGCGGTGGCTCGGTAGCTGGGGACATTGGGGAGCTGCTCTAGTGCGCCGCGGCCGGGAGGGGAGGCGTCCCCGCCGTCGAGCGGCTTACGCCCCAGCCAATCTAGCTCGACGTCTCGGGCACGCTTGGACATGCTGCTAGGCGCCTAGGTGCTTCAAGCAAAGGAAAAGGCATCTGAAGCTGCAATAAAACACAGAGTGGTTTGAGACGGGACGGTTCTGTCAGCGCAGAGAAATGCAAGGCTGCTGGGGTTCTTGTTGCCGCCTGCCGCTCAGGGATGTTGGTAGCAGTGGTGGTGAGCATCCTACCATGTGCTTTTCTAGCATCGCTGCAAGATTGGGGTGCTCTGCAGGGCTGCGTGAGCAGAGAAATCTCCAGCCCGTAGCAGGGCTCAGGTCACGCCATCCCTTGTGCAACTCCCCTGACGTCGGTGGAGTTATGCCAGGACCTGCCTTTGCTCACTCAGGCTGAGATGGGAGCTCACCACCTAAGTTTCATTACTAACCCGTTACCTCCTAAAAGGTTATATTAAAATGCACTTTATGCCACCAGTTATTTCCCAAATTGAGCAAAGTGTTAGAGAAAATCCTTTTCATCCCCCCCTACGCTCTTCAGCTGAAGGAGAAACTCTTACTTCACATCCGAGGTTGCTTAATCAACAAGACTAAGCACTGCGTAAGCACCAGCCTTTCAGAGCTGGCTCCAGCTGATGACAATATTGCCACCGCAGTGTGCCCACGGGATGCTTTAAGCTAGTGAAAAGCCCCAACTGCCCACACAGGCCCACGCCGCAGAAAACTCAGCTGCCCGCTCCTGACAGTGAGCAGCGGGGAGGGAGAAGCTGCATTTTGCCCCTTGCTGGGCATCCCATTGCCAGCTTCGGTTCATCCTGATTTGACATTACTCTGCTATATATTATACCTTCGGCATCGGTTTCAGCAGCTTCAGCTGTCTCCTCTTCCACCTTCAAAATGAAAAAAAGCCATTTTAAGGAGAAAAAGACCTTCTCTGTCAGTAAAAGAGCAGACTTTGCAGCTTGATTGGGTGCCCCATATCCCCTGACCATTCGCCAGCCTCCCAGCTTGCTGCTCAGTGCCAACATTTTACGGTGAAAGCATCCTTCCCTTGGTGCACAGCTACTGCTGCTGTCTCAGGTTCAGAGACGGGGACATCTTGGTAGGCAACATTCCCAGTGCCCATCCCAGTGCCAAGGACAAGCCCTGAGCCCCCAGCATGCGCTGGGCAGCAAAAGCTCATTGCAGACCTGAGCCCAAGCAGGGAGCGATGCCGTACCTGTACAAAAGCACCTTCGAGATCACTTATCTCAGCTTCTTCCAGCTGCTCAAACCTGAGGGCCTCCTCTACAAAGTCGACTTCATCCACACCCTCGTCAGCGGTGAGACAAGGCGACTGGAGCAGGGGTCTGGATGGTACAGATCAAGCAGAGACAAGTGCCCGAGCTCGCTTTCGCCCTTTCTGAGGTTGTGCACGTTGTGGATGGGGGGCATCACGTCAACGGGGGGGCAACACGTCAATGGGGAACATGCATGGCTCTCCCAGTTTTGGGGAGCACTACTCCTCCAGCTGCACTGCAAGCCTCATTTGCAGATGAACAATACCACAGAAATCTTATAGAATCATAGAATCATAGAAT